TCAAAAAAAAAAAAAAAAAAAGTTTGCTCTTTTAATTTATATATAAAAAGGAATATTCAGGTTTGCTTGATGTTCTACAAATTTTAAGTGGCTCTAACATATTATGAGTGTTCTTTTGGTTACCAAACTTAGAATGACATAAAAAACTGACAAGTCAAAAGGCAAATTGGCCTTTTCTAAGTTATTTCTAATAAAATGATGTGTACTTCTAAAGTTAAAAAACTTTCTTGTTTATTTTATAGACTGGCATATAACAGTTAAGACCTTTATTATAAAGAAGAAAATATCTTTGTCATTTATCAATTAGAGACATTCAATTAGTAATAATTGTGCCTCCGATAAACCTCATTGGCTTCAGTACTGCCGCTGCACAAAGCTAATTAGTGACATTCATAATGTACTTTATGGTGTAAATTATAGCCCTTGGGTATTTGTTAGTGCCCTCCTTAATTCTCATGACAACTGTCCCTCTCTTACTTGAGAAGAGAGCATTCATGATCATTTGACCTATTTTAGGGACCTATCTATGCATTATACAGATATTTTGGAAATTTTTTTTCTTTTTTTTTTTTGTTGGTCTTGGACTATTTGATCTTAAGGAAAGTTCTTTTTAAAATGTTAATGTATCTTCTTAATGGTTAACGTCTAAAAATGTAAACAAGAATTTTTCAAGTATTCTATGCTATCATGATTCTAAATTTACCATTATTTTATAACCTTCTCCCAGAAATTAAATCAGCCCAAGTGGCTTAATTGTTCTCCTTCATTCAGTGAAGGAGAGATTAAAAGAGGCAATATTTCTGAGTGGTGAAGGGGCCTGCTAAAAAAAAAAAAGCAAATATTTATATAGGCAGTGGTTATATAATGAGTTGGTTCATATCACAAAACTTTGGAATTGAAGAGGCTTTCTGACCTCTTGAGGAAGTCTCATTAAAAATGGCAAGAAATTAAAGAACTTTTGGAAGCTTTGCTATTACCTAAGGGAGTAGCCAAATGATAAAATGGAGATTCACATTCAAAGTGCAATAACCCAGAATCCTGAGGAAATAATGTACCACTATGCTAAACAAGTAGCATTAACCAAAGCAGTTGCCATACTGAAGGTTTGTAAATATGTTCTAGCCATTGTCTGCTTACCTGCAGAATGGATCGAGGATATTCCTGATATTCCTAATAGACAACCAAGGTTTTGCTGATTAAATTGCTTGACTGTTATTCTGGACTTAAGGAATTCCAACGTATCTTCAGTGATTGGGGGGTGGGGTGTGTGTGTGGCACACATTTCCCGTAGCTGTTATAAAAGAGCAGCTCCAAAATGTTTTTTTTTTGAACAATAATAACATACTTGCTGTACCAAGTGAATATTTAGAACAATTAGAAAAAAAAAATGAATTCTAACACTAAATTTGAGACTGCTCTCCAGGACTTGAACTTCCATGTCTTGGGAATTGCTATTAGCCTTGATGGCAATATCAACTTCTCCTGGGATCCACAGGCTGCTCCATGCAGTTAGGAATTCACTTCCTGAACCTGTACTCTGTCATACCACAGGCTCACATTTCTAAATACTACAAAGGATTCATTTGATGCATCTAGCTTTTAATAGGTAACAACAATCTTCCCCATGTATCCACCTAATTAGTCTCTGCATGACTAGAAACCTGAAGATTTAGTCTTTTGGAAAAGACTTCTAAAAATTAGAGGAAAAACTACCCTTGTCCTCAATAGAAAGGACTTCATTGGTTCCTCAATGAAGATTGAATTAAACTGAGGATTCTTAAGTATCTTCCAGAACAATGAATGATCTTTGGAAGAAGACGACCAAACCAGTGTCTTCAGATCAAGCTGCTGATGACACCAAGTAGATACTTTCACCCAAGACAATAAAACAAGATACGCGTTCTGGTATCTTTGCCCTCCTTTAAAAATTTTGCTCTGCTTATCAACATGCCTGGTTGTCTCCTAGAGGCCAACCAAAAGTTTTTAAGATTCTTTTACAAATTATATTTTATTTTAATCTTCCATAGTACGGAATTTCTCTGCCACCTAAGGTAAAAACTTTCTTGTGTTTTTTTTCGTAGACTATAGCTATTGTTTTTAATTTTTTTTTTTTCTAAGAGACAGGATTTTGTGCTGGACCCAGGCTAGAGTGCAGTGTTGCGATGCTAGCTCACTGCAGCCTCAGACTCCTGTGATCAAGCAATTTTCCCACCTCAGCCTCCTGAATAGCTGGGAGTACAGGTGCTCACCACCTCACTTGGCTATTTTTTTTTTAGTTTTTAGTAAAGACAAAGTCTCACTTTGTCACTCAGTCTGGTCTCAAAATCTTGGCTTACAGAGCCCACCCCCGGCACCTAAACGCCTGTGTTGGCCTCCCAAAGCGCTGGGATTACAGGCCTGAGTCACTACTCCCCAATTTATTGTTTTAAATCTAACTGACTAATGCAGTTTTCATCCCCTATCTGATTCCAGTAACAAAAATTTAATAGCTATTCAACACTTCAAAAGGCAGATTTTCTTCTACAGGTTTCTTCTGGAATTTAAATTTTCCTGACAATATTAATTTTCACCTTCAGTTTTATCAATATTGAACACTGACTTCAAACAACAAAATATGTCTGCTGACATTATTGCTATAATGTATTGAGTCTCTCCTTGCAGTGTTAGTCCTTTACCTTCAGTGACTCCCAAGTCTCCACTCAAGCAATCTTCACGTGTTGAAGGATTATTAATTGTCCTGCTCTCACTGTGATAAATGACACCCATTTCAGTTTGTGCAACACTAAGACCTACTTTTTATGTGGATATCAGGTCACTTGATCATTATACAAATTTATCTTATGTAATATGGAGTTTTAGACAATTTTATTCATAATATTTTTCAATATTTTAAAATCTACTCCTATAGGAAATGATATTTCTCTTAGAGAGAGGTACTCAGTGACCTTAAATGAGGCAAGCGTGGACTATTCAGGAGAACTTCCAGGAGAGATGATTGACTCCATCTTCATCTATACTCTGGGAGCTCTAATTCCAGCAATAGGCATAACGTGACTAGAAAAGGCAATCCAAAATGTGCCTCTGGTCCTAGCAGAAATCAATAGATGACACTACTCCTTTTCTGGAGGTACAGTAACCCAGTTTAAAATAAAGTTTCATGGTGGTTATGAATGATTTCATAGTTTTTGGTTTCTTCTTGGCCAACCAAGGACAACTTTTGCTTTACAGCGAAGACTGTTTGCAGCACCTCCTTAAAACATGACTGTTAACAGGCAGAACAGTTTTGTGGCAAGGTTAAAAGACTACTTGGCTCTCCAGAACAGATTCAGATGGATCTGGGACATGGTTTTGGGGTCTGGTTTTGAAATTGGGCTTTGTTTTTGCAACCTATTACTAGGGTTACAAGGATTCATAATTAATTTGTTTCTAGTAATTACCTGTATTTGACCAGTATGTCCTGTTCAGTCTTAAATGCAGTGAGTATATTTTCACTACATATATTTAGTAACAAAATGTACACGAGAGACCAACGGTATGCAGACGCAGCCAGAGTTCTCCCAATAAACTTGTGACAGGTGGATTCTGACAATGGTGTAGATATGAACCCCACAATTGAAAGTCCTGATGGTTGATTCTGTCTTTGGTCAAAAGGGAAGGCTGAAGAGTGAAAAAGCACCTAGGAACTTGCAGTTGGGAGCTGACAGACATAGTTGAATCCTCCCAACTCCTGCAAGATATTTTAACCAGTCAAAATTGCTCAGTGATTATCACACAAGATGTAGACAGTCCATCTGTAACTATATTTGAAACCACAGATTTATAGCATTCTGCATTGAAGACTACAGTAATCTATTTCCTTTCCTAAATTTATCAGGATAATCACCAAATTGCCCCATTTTAGAAAACTGTTGTCTGCTCCCAAACACTCCTGACATTCACCTAATCAATTGCTATAATCGGCTTCCTACAACCCTCTGTGTAAAGTTTATTTTCCTGTGTTTGCTCTCCCTTGATGCAACATAATAAACCCAGTCTTGTTGGAATACACTGTGTGGTCATTGGGTGGCTGCCGACACCTGTGCAAATCTAGGGATCCCATTTGGAGCCTCCCTGCACCTCTGTCCCTCAACCTCTGCCCTGGTTGATGCCCAGTAGATCTGTGAAGAAGATCTGTGATTTAGAGTGAAGAAAATGTTTGATTCCGTCACCTCTGATAGGCAAGTGCTAATCAGATGATTAAGTTTGACTTGAAGGTATTAAGCTCAGAGCAGATAATTACTTGGAATGAACAATCTTGGGAAGAGCTATGGGGATTGGACACTGACCATAGGGTGGTTCAAGGGACGGGTCATTTGGATTCCTTATTAAGGACAGAGCGTGGGCCCTTTCTCACTTTTTCCAAGTCCTTGGCCAACCAGTTGCTTGGAGTTGCCCCTCTTCCAAAACAGGTGGGAGCAGAGCATGGACATGGGAACGAGTGGTCTCTTGAAGAAGCCATGGTGGACCCTGCCTGAAAACTTTGATGCTCCAATGGTGTTCCACATGGAAGAGGACCAGGAGGAGCTTATCTTCGGTGAGTAGCCCCTGCTAATGTCCCTTTCTTCAGCCTTGTCTTCTTGATTTTCAATCTTTCCCTACCCTGTCACCTTCATAATTCTCAGATCCCTTCCCCCAAAGCCACCTCCCCACTCCCCAAGGGCTGGTGGCTGACATTCCCTCCTCTCACCTCTTCTGCTCACAGGGCACAGTGACACATACCTTCGCTGCATCGAGATGAACAGCCACACCCTTATTCAGCTGGAGAGCTGGTTCACAGCTACAGGCCAGACTCGTGTGACTGTAGTGGGACCACACAGGGCCAGGCAGTGGCTGCTGCACATGTTCTGTTGCATGGGGAGCCGGGACCCCTATCGCCATGCTCGAGGTAGGTATCCTCGGCTGAACTGTGGTGGTGGAGGGGCTTGATGGTGGAGTTCTGGCTGAGTTGTGTGGCATATTGGATTCTTTTTTTTTTTTTTTTTTGAGACGGAGTTTCACTCATGTTACCCAGGCTGGAGTGCAATGGCCCGATCTCGGCTCACCGCAACCTCTGCCTCCTGGGTTCAGGCAATTCTCCTGCCTCAGCCTCCTGAGTAGCTGGGATTACAGGCACGCACCACCATGCCCAGCTAATTTTTTGTATTTTTAGTAGAGACGGGGTTTCACCATGTTAACCAGGATGGTCTTGATCTCTTGACCTCGTGATCCACCCGCCTCGGCCTCCTAAAGTGCTGGGATTACAGGCTTGATCCACCGCGCCCGGCCCATATTGGATTCTTGAAGAATCCCTTGTGTGGCTGGAGAATCCAGGTGCTTCCCAGAGTCCATTGGGAAAAAAAGTGCTCATTTTTTTTGTGGCATGAGATTGCTTAAGCTGGAGAAGGTAGCCAGGAGGTGTAAATGGGTTACCGTGGAAGGCCTGGGCTGGGGTGACATCCTCCCTGCAGTGTCCCTGGTGGAGTCCAGGCCTCCCATGGGCCCCAGTTATGGGCCCTGGTTCATCAGCCCTGGGCACTACTTTTGCAGGCCTGGAGATGCTGGAACGTGTCCGAAGCCAGCCCCTGACCAACGATGACCTGGTCACCTCCATTAGTGTGCCACCATACACTGGAGATCTGTCTTTGGCTCCCAGAATAAGTGGAACCGTGTGTCTTAGCGTTCCTCAGCCTTCCCCTTACCAAGTGATTGGCTGTTCGGGATTCCATCTGAGTTCACTCTATCCATAATTAAGGACTGATTTCCACTGGGAAGTGCAGATGAGAGAAGTCTTCGCTTCACTTTTGGTGAGAAAGACATGAAAGACACTGAAGAAAGTTTGGATTTCTGGGTCGAGTCGTGTCCCTCTGATGCCTTCTAGGCATGTGTCTGAGGGAAGTCTCCTGAATGTAAGAAAGTGTTATATTGGCAAAGTAATCCAATAAAATAAGCTACCTAAGATGAAAGACTTTGATGTGCTATCCTCTTTTCTTAGGATGAACTTATTGGTCCCGAGTTTTCCTGGACCTTAAAGTGCAGACAAATGGGGAGAATGGAAAGGTGGGAGGCAGGGTCCAGATAGAGATGGAAAGAGTTCCCACCCCAAGTGCCTGGTGAAGTAGGCAGCCAGGGAACCTGGTGAACAGGAGGCGGCCAACATGTCCCTGAATGCCCAAGTCTGTGGGTGGGAGTAAGGGTGGAGGGGGTGGTTTCTGGGGGGAGCAAAGGCTTCTGAAGTCCCTCATGCCATGAATTAAATCAAACAGGAAGGCTTCCTGAATCTCTTGAAGAATATTCTGATTGTCGAGTCTACATTTGGATCTGTGTAGCCAAAATTATGACAGGCTAAACCTGTCCTCAGTTGAACTCTTCTTTTCAAATTGGCCCCTTCTGCAGCAGCCAGTATCCTACAATGAGGCAACTGCAGTCCTCTAGGAGAGTGACAATGGTGACTGGGACCAGAGTGGAGTGGTAGTAGTGTTAGGAAATGGTTGAATTTGGATCATAATTTGAAGCCAACAAGGTGTGCTAATTACTTGGTTTTCACAAGGCCAGTTACCAAATAAAAGTTAAAAGATCACACAGAAGAAAAACAGAGAAAATGTTGAAAGAATTCCTGTAGCAAACGAACAACGTGGCTCATGCCTGTAACCCTAGTACTTTGGGAGGCCGAGAAGGGCTCAGGAGTTGGAGACCTGACTGGGCAACGTGGTGAAACCCTGTCTCTCCCAAGAATACAAATAATTAGCCTGGTGTGGGGGCACACACTTGTCATCCCAGCTGCTTGGCTTGGGGACTGAGATTGCAGGATTTCTTGAGCCCAGGAGGCATAGGTTGCAGTCAGCCGAGATCACGGCACTGGACTCCAGCACAGGTAACAAAGTAAGACTCCGTCTCAAAAAAAAAATTTTTGTCTGGGTGCCGTGACTCACACCTGTAATCCCAGCACTTTGGGAAGCCAAGGCTGGCGGATCACAAGGTCAGGAGTTTGAGACCAGCATGGTGAAACCCCGTCTCTATTAAAAATAGAAACATTAGCTGGGTGTGGTGGTACCTACCTGTAATCTCAGCTACTGGGGAGGCTAAGGCAGGAGAATGGCTTGAATCCAGAAGGTGGAGGTTGCAGTGAGCCAAGATTGTGCCATTGCCCTCCAGCCTGGGTGGCAGAGCCAAGACTCCATCTCAAAAATAAATAAATAAATAAATAAATCCGGTTGTTTACAGACTGCCAAAATACATTGTCTACACATAAGTTTCTTTCTAGAAGCCAATTGTTTAGTTAGTCCTGAGGCATAGCCCAGCACCTTCATAATTATTTGTTGAAAAATGAATGAAAGTCTTTTTAATGGCTAGGAATGTATTCTAAAATTGAAATAAAAAGAACCTATAAAGGAGTGAATCACATTCTAAGTTACTAGGCATAAAAAGATAAATGTATATCCATGAACTCTGGACAATAATCAACATCGATTTTACTAAAAATTTCCTAGGGAATAATATCATATGATTTTCAAAGGTACCATAGTATTTCTAATTCCAATCTAACTTCTGGCACCAAGGTCTGTATAGTGTAGTTTAAGGCATTTGAGATTTCTTTTTCTTTTTTTTTTTAGATGAAGCCTTGCTCTGTCGCTCAGGCTGGAGTGCAGTGACGTGATCTCAGCTCACTGCAATCTCTGTCTTCCAAGTTCAAGCGATTCTCATGCTTCAGCCTCCCGAGGAGCTGGGATTATAGGCATACCACTATGCCCAGCTGATTTGATGTATTTTTAGTGGAGACGGGGGTTTTGCCATGTTGGCTAGGCTGGTCTCAAACTACTGACTTCAAGTGATCTGCCCTCACAAGGTGCTGGGATTACAGGCCAAAGTCACCTTGCCTGGCTGAGTAATGACCTACAAGCAGTGATCCTACTGAATGATCCCTGTCTCAAGCGTTTTCTTGGGGAATCTGTAAAAAAAAAAAAGAAAAAACAACCACAGCAGGCTGGGTATGGTGGCTCACACCTGCAATTGCAGCACTTTGGGAGGGCGAAGGGGATGGATCACTTGAGTTCAGGAGTTTGAGACCAGCCTGGCCAACAGGGTGAAACCCTGTCTCTATGAAAAATACAAAAATTAGTCAGGCATGGGTGTGGGTGCCTGTAATCCTAGCTACTCAGTTGACTGAGGCATGGGAAACACTTGAATCTGGGAGGCAGAGGTTGCAGTGAGCCAAAATCGTGCTATTGCGCTCCAGTCTGGGAGACACAGTGAGACTCCATCTCAAAAACAAACAGAACAAAACAGAAGCAAACAAAAAACACCAAAAAACCAAGAATGCTGCTAAATGGATTTTTGTGTGTGTGGTATTTCTTTTGCTACCGTATTTCCTGTTAAATAGCAAAAAATTTTCCTACGGATAATGTCTTCTTAAGCCTTAAAATACGTTCTCTATGTGGATCTACTTATTATACTAAACCAATAATTGAGTATCAGCTATGTCACTATCATTTAAATGTGAAGTTTTGTTTTCTGAATAGATATTTCATTGGGTTCAAAATTGAAAAAACGCTTTTAGTGAAAAAGATACCCTCCAAATCCTGTCCTTCAGTTATACAGTATCATTTCTTTCTTTCTTTTTTTTTTCTTTAAAGACGGGGTTTCACCGTTTTGGTCAGGCTGGTCTTGAACTCCCGACCTCAGGTGATCCGCCCACCTTGGCCTCCAAAGTGCTTGGATTACAGGCATGAGCCACCATGCCCGGCCTACAGTATCATTTCTTATAGGAAATTTGTTTTAATTCTTCATATACCCTTGATTCTCAGATAAATACATACATACAATTTTTTCTTTTTTGTATACAGATTGTACCATACTATATATATACACACACATATACATATATACTTATAAATATACATGTATATACTTATACATATATATATATATATATATACATTTTTTTGTTTTTTGAGACAGACTCTCAGTCTGTTCCCCATGCTGGAGTGCAGTGGTGCGATCTCGGCTCACTGTAACCTCTGCCTCCTGGGTTCACGCGATTCTCCTGCCTCAGCCTCCCGAGTAGCTGGGACTACAGGCGCATACTGCCATGCCCGGCTAATTTTTTGTGTTTTAGTAAAGATGGGGTTTCACTGTGTTGCCCAGGCTGGTCTTGAACTCCTCAGCTCAGGCAATCTGCCCACCTCGGCCTCCCAAAGTGCTAGGATTATAAGTGTGAGCACCTGCACCTGGACTCATACAGTATACTCTTTAGCATCTTGCCTTTTTAAAAACTTAACAATATATCTTGCAGATGGTTGC